CGTTAGCTCCATGTGTAATTATACTTTTCATTTTGACGATTCATAGCGTAAGGACTGGCGATCTGCGGTTACTTTACTTCAATCAATATTGATTTAAATGCACAAGCTTTGCGCTTTTAACACACAAATAAATCCGTTTTCAACACAAATTTTCCCAAACACATTTTTTTTGTCATCACAGATTTTTTCCATGGCTATTCCAATTTTAAACTTTTAAAGAAAATCTTCCGAATCATCAGGATGTATTTAAAATTATACTCAAAGAAATGGATTAAACATCGATAAGTATCTCCGGCACGTGTAAACTTCATAGGTGACTTCTGTGCTGCACAATGCAATTACAGGTTGAATAGTCAAGTTGAAAAAATAATTCAAGATATTAAAGCAATGAATTTAATTTGTTTTATAATTTATTCAAAACCTGTAAATGATAAGTAAAGTGTGCTAATATTTCAATTTTGTTCAGTGATTTTAAAGATATCAGTAGCAGATTATACAATGTACATGTATAAAGTAGTAATAAACTCGCATCGTATGTACAGGATCGAAAATTTAAGATCTTATATAACAATCTGCAGCTACTGAATATCACAAACTTATCATGTAATTATAATACACACTTTTATGACCTTATTTAAACTGTTAAAATCATAACCGACACCATAGTCAAACATTAATTGTCCTATAATCGGCACTTCGGGCCTTTGAGCAGGGAGGGATCTTTTTTGTGCCAGCACCTAAAGCGACAAAGGACCTTGTTTTATACGGTCTCATCGGAAGGACAGGTCCCCACGTCCCACAGTGGGATTCGAAACCACGACGTAAGGTTCAACTCCTTACTTCGCGACTATAGAGCAGACGCTCTAATCACTGCGCTATGCGGGCGACCTTGGGGGATATAAAATGAAAACAATGGAGAAAACGGTTAGTAAAAATAAGAAGGGGTCATTTTAAAATATTATTCTTACGAACTTCAGGTCTGAATGTCAATCAAGAATGGGAAACCATATTTACGAAAGCTTCCTGTTATAAAAAAGGTTACTTTTTTCAAATCATGACTAGAGTTTTCCCTTGCAAAGTGATTGTGTATTTTGGGGGGTAGTGTGGATGGGATGGGAATTAAACGGTCTGTTTAAATGTCCATATGTCTGTTTGTCCCTCAAAGAAGGCCAGGCTATAACATAAAGAAACCGGAAGCTCGTACTCGAAACAAAGAATTAATGTTCTGTTGCAATCATTTATATGTAAACGAGAATATCTGTAAGTTCATACATGATATAGAGATTGCTTGTTACAAAAAGTTTTTTTTACGATTTTGATTCAGAAAATAGTATCATTTCATTCTGACTATACACTGTATTTGATTTATCATACTTCATACAACTTGCTTATAGTCCGCCGGTTTTCAGATGACTTAAAATAAGGTCATTTTAACAAATTCAGGTCCAATGACAGAAAAGTTGTAAAATTCTTGTCAGCGTTATGAATTTCTAAAAGTTGTATTGAGGGTTTGTCTTGACAAAGAGCCAAGGTTATTCTGTTAAAATCAAGGTCACTGACAGAAGAAATCTTTTCTTTTCCACGCTGTGAACTAGTAAGTGAAAATCATTAGAGGCTCTTACTTGAAACATAGATTACTTATGATTGGAGGTTGCGTCATGACCCTGATCAAAGGTCTTTCTGGCAAATCAAGGTCACTGACAGAGAAAAAAAATGTTTAAGCATAACTTTGTAATTAGGATTCATTGGAGGCTTGTGCTGAGAAGGAAGGTTGTTCACATAAGAAAGTGCAGTGACCTTGACCCAAGGTCGGTACTTCCTGTCCACAGCTCCAACGGAAGACCTACTCGTTGCTTTGCAACGAGCTCGGCTCTAGTTATCACACTAATGATGATTTTATGAGTTTGTATAAGCCAGACCTCATAAATTTTTCATTTCACATGCTGAATACTATCATTTAGTAAAAAAAAGTATTTCGGAAAAATATAACACTATCGCCTGGAAAGGATAGTGTTACACACAGACAAAATTATAAATTTACGACCTTAAACTCTGTCCTTTTGACATCAAGGTCAATAGGGGTCTTTCTTAGGCCACAGGGAGTTGTTTTGTAAAATTTCATTGCAAAAGCTCAAAAAAGGAAAAAATGTTGTTTAGTATTAGTGCATACAGGAAAATATTCATTCGATTTTCACCAAAACATGACCGATTCTGTCAGGAAAATGGAATTCTAGTCGAAAATTCTATGACATGTCCTGTCGTACGACTGCTTTTTGGTGTGTTTTCAAAGACTTGAAATATCACCGGTGAGTTGATTAATTCTAAACAACTTTTTCTTTCTCCGAGACGATTGGAGGTTTGAAAAAATTGTGTAATTCATGTATCTTGCGACAAAACTTCAAAATACTACCGTTTGACAGATTTTTAAACGTAAAAACGAAAATCTCGGCAATAATGGGTTCTCGCACGTTAGAGCTTAAAAACAATCCTAACTTTTGAATTAAACAACAAGGCCCCAAAATAAATCTACATGCGATGTACAAATTATGACACTTTCCCCGTCATGTTAGCTCAAGTATGCAATGACTTGACGTCATGTTCTATTATGACGTCATATCTAGGTAGTTCAGAGAAGTAACAACAGTCTGAACAGTTTGACATTTTTTCGGACAGCCTTATTCTAGCTGCGTAACTAAATTACTGTTATAAATTTAAGAATAGATGAAGACTTTTAATGAATCCCGGCCCTGATCCCGCCTTTTGAATTCCCACGTTCGATTTACCTGTCTTTAAAATTATCTTTGATCAAAATCAAACAGACATTATTTAGATGATGACTTTACTATCTTACTTTTTCATCTTAAAATGCGGGATTTCAAAAATTATAACACTATTATATTAGTAACTTATTTCCAAACATATGCATCTTACAAAAACAACTTAACACTTTCATCACCATGATAACAACGTTGTTCATAAATTTTTCGTTTATATTTCCAATATTCATTACCACAAACACGAACAAGAAGCATTCTTTGAGAAAATTATACAAATACTTTAGTTTGAATTAGAATCAATAATTATCTCTTTTTTTATCAATTTTATCAATTATAATATCAATTATATATCAATTTTAATTAAAACTAAAATATTTGTGTAATGTTCTCAAAGGAATGCTTCTTGTTCGGTGATGTTGTCATAATTATTGAAAATATAAGCAAAAAATTCGCGAAGAATTTATCTTAATTACTGAGGAAAAGAATTAATCATACCTGAAAATGGGTACTCTCCTTTTTCTATCAGATAATAAAAAAAAATAATTATTAATTTTAATTCAAACTAAAGTATTTGTATAATTTTCTCACAGATTGCTTTTTGTTCGTTTTTGTTGTAATGTTTATTGGAAATATAAACAAAATTTCATGAACAATTTATCTCAATTACTGAGTACAATAAATATGAAAAACGTCTGTCAGCAATCGACATTTTGATACAAGAATATAATAACTGTTAGATTGTATGTTGTGTACGTCCTGTTCAAGATTTTTCACTCATGGAGAGAGGTCACAACAAAACGTTGAATCCTTTCAAATTCATTCGGAACTCGGGGCCATTGAACAGTGCGTATTTCCATGGATATGGAGATAACGAACAGTATTTAATATTAAAGTCCATAAAACAATCGAAAATATGAGTAAAGCAAACAAGGACCTTCGAAACATCACCGGTTGGATCAGGTGCCATTGAGGAGTGAGCATCCCCTGCTGACCGGTCACTACCGCGGGAAATAACGGGAAAATCCGTCGTCAATTCAATGTTTAAATAATGGATTTACAATAAGTATGAAAAACGTCAGCCAGCATGTGACATATTGATAAATTGTATTTGCTGACAAGGTCATTGTATCGACCATAGAACCATATCGACCATAGAACTTACGAAATGAGTTTACACGAGACGGCTGATATACTTGCTTGTCAATAATTTACCTCGTTTTGGAAATTGTTCATACAAAGAGCATGCTCTTACGTATCGAATCAATTGAGATATATACACTCCGTATACAGGTGATGAAGGTATATTGCTGCATAAGTAAGGGAAGATGACGATAGAAAAGTTAAAGTCATCACGTCTATCATATAGCTTGGTTGTTAGATTACTATTCACGTCTTTTTCAAGTCATATATCAAAATATGAAACAGATGTGTCAGACTCAATGGTATCTTTTATCTCAAGCTTTCAATGATATTTCGTATCGACGTAGGAATGAATATTGCCATTGTTAATTGACAATACGTCGTCGATATATCTAAATGTAGAGTTTAAGGCCACAACAAGAGTGTCCTTCTTTTCATGCATAAGATTTTGCACAAATTATAAAATTTATGATATACTTAGGGAACTAAAGTATAAAATATACAACTTAGTTGATTTTATAAAATTAAGAATATACTAAGACTTTTAATGAATCCTGGCCCTGACCCGCCTTTTGAATTCACACGTTCGCTTTTCCTGTCCTTAAAATTATCTTAGATCAAAATCAATAAGACAACATTATTTAGATTATGTCTCTATTATCTATCTTTTTCATCTAAAAAGGATAGTCGTTAAGATGTTGGATTTCAAGAAATATAATACTTTTATATTAGTACTTCCTTCCATAAATATGCATCTATCTTAATAAAAAAAATTGTATAATTTTCTCAAAGAGACACTTCTTGTTCCGTTTTGGTGTCATGATTATTGGAAATATACACAAAATATTCATGAAGTATTTATTACAATAAGTGAGCAAAATAATTATCCTACCTGAAAATGGATGCACTAACCCTGTTTGGTTAGAAAAACAAGATATTTATCAATTTTAATTAAAACTATATTATTTGTATAATTTTTAAAAGAGATGCTTCTTGTTCGCTTTTGTTGTCATGATTATTGAAAATATTAGCAAAAAATTCGTGAAGAATTTATCTCAATTATTGAGGAAAATTATTATCCTACCTGTGCGTGGGTCACGGTTACGTCCTATACGATAAAAAAAGAGATAATTATTGATTCTAATTCAAACTAAAGTATTTGTATAATTTTCTCAAAGAATGCTTCTTGTTCGTGTTTGTGGTAATGAATATTGGAAATATAAACGAAAAATTTATGAACAATATATCTCAATTACTGAGTACAATAAGTATGAAAGACGCCGGTCAGCATTTGACATTTTGATACAAGAAAATCATAATTGTTAGATTGTATGTTGTTTTACGTCCAATTTAATAAATTTTCATCCGAGGAGAGAGGTCACAAAAAACGTTGAAGCCTACAAATTCATTCGAAACTCGAGGCCATTTAACAGTGAGTATTTCTATAAAATGTAGGATATACTTAGGAAACTTAAGTATAAAATATATAACTTAATTGATGTTATAAAATTAAGAATATACTAAGACTTTTTATGAATCCCGGCCCTGATCCAACCTTTTGAATTCCCACGTTCGCTTTTCTTGTCCTTAGAATTATCTTAGATCAAAATTAAACAGACAACATTATTTAGATAATGTCTCTATTATCTAACTTTTTCATCTAAAATAGGATAGTTGTTAAGATGTGGTATTTCAAGAAATGTAACACAATAATATTAATAAGTTCTTTCCAAAAATGTGCATCTTTCAAAGCTAAATACTTTCATCAAGATAATAACTTCGTGGGATTTTCATCTTTTTATCTTAACCACGAAAAACATTGTATTCTCAACGAGACGATTCTTGTTCGTTTTTCTTTTTAAGATTATTTGGAATATAAACAAAAAATTCATGAAGAATTTATTACAGTAATACTGAGGAAAGTAGTTATCCTACCTGTAAATACCAGCGGTAATTTTATACTGCCTGTATGATAAGAAAAACAAAAGAGATATTTATAAATTTTAATTCAAACTAAAATATTTGTATAATTTTCTCAAAGAGATGCTTCATGTTTAGGTTTTTTTTATTATTATTTGAATTATAAACAAAAACTTCGTGAAGAATTTATTTCAATTATTATTATCCTCTCTGTGCCTGGAAGCCTTCTACTTCCTATCCGATAAAAAAAACCGGATATTTATTACTTCTAATTCAACTAAAAGTATCTGTATAATTTTCTCAAAGAGATTCTTCTGATTCTTTTTGTTGTCGTGATAATTCGAAATAAAACCAAAAAAAAAAATCCTGAAGAATTTATTACAATTACTGAAGGAAATAATTATTTTACCTTGATGTCCCGCCGATATATTTTCTATCAGATAGGAAAACAGAAAAGATATTTACCAATTTTAATTCAAACTAAAATATTTGTATAATTTTCTCAAAAAGATGCTTCTTGTTCGGTTTTGTTGTCATGATTATAAGGGAAAAAATCGTGAAAAATTTGTATCAATTACTGAGGGAAAAAAATAATCATACCTCTAAACGGATGCCTTCTTCTTTCTATCCGACAATGAAAAAAATTATTAATTTTCATTCAAACTAAAGTATTTGTATAATTTTCTCAAAGAATTGCTTCTTTTTCGCTTTTGTGGTACTGAATATTGGAAATATAAACAAACATTTTATGAACAATTTATCTCAATTACTGTGTACAATAAGTATAAAAAACGTCAGTCAGCATTTGAAATTTTGATAAAAGAACTTAAGTATTAAATATGTAACTTAATTGGTTTTGTAAAATTAAGAATCTACTAAGACTTTTAATGAATCCCGGACCTGAATCCACCTTTTGAATTCCCAGGTTCGTTTTACCTGTCCTAAATGTCTTAGATCAAAATAAAACAGATGTGACATTATTTAGATGATGTCTCTACTATCTAACTTTTTCATCTAAAAAAGGATAGATTTTGAGATATGGGATTTCAAGAATATTGGGTTTTGTTGTAAAAGTTGTCATTATTAGAAATCATAACAAAAAATCGTGAAGAAATTATCTCAATTAACGAGGAAACAATTCAACGTGTACATGGTTGCTTTTTACTATCTATACAATAAGAAAAAAAACCCATATATTTTTCAATTTCAATTTCAATTCAAACCATGACAATAATAAATGAATTTTTGTGTTCAGGAAATGATATATTTACTAAATAGTCTAAATAAAACTTTGACAACTTCACAACTTATATGGAGGTTTTCGGTACAATTTGGAAAATCTTGTTTTTATGTCATAAAGCACAAATTCTATCAATTTTTGATAAAATCACTGAGTAAACACCATGTATTGAAATTGCTTATTGAACAATTAGTGTTTAATTTTCCCTACTTTTTCTGTTAGCAAACAATAAGAAAAAAAACTCAAGTCATTACCATCAAACTTCGGTAAAAAGGCATATGAATGTGTTGTCTTTTCTTCTTTTATACAATATGAAAGATAAATGAAACAAAATTATTTCATTTAAAGCAATTTTTAAGAATATTAACACAAATATCAATTAATGTATTCAGTTGTCTGCATAGTTAATATAAAAAATGTTGAAGAATTTATTTCAATTACTGAGGAAAATAATTATCATACCTGAATATTCCGCCGATTCCTGTAAAATTTCTGTCCGATAAGAAAACAAAAGAGATATTTATTAATTTTAATTTAAACTAATATATTTGTATAATTTTCTCAATGAGACGTTTCTTGTTCTGTTTTGTTGTCATGATTATTGGAAATATAAACAAAAGCATTCGTGAAGAATTTATCGAAATTACTGAGGATAAGAAGCTAAATCAGAGAATTTGTGTCCCCTGCTGAGAGAAAAATGTAAACCATGCACAGTTGGGGGGGGGGGGGGGGGCGGATCCCCCTAAATTTGTAGAATTTTTAAATGTATACATGTATACTGAAGCGAATAAAAAATGCCAATATGGATATAAAGTTTTTGATTGCTTATTTTCTATTATGTGTATAGAAGATTTTTTATATGGAATATTTATCACACTAATGATGATTGTATGAGTTTGTATAAGCCAGACCTCATAATTTTTTCATTTCACATGCTGACTACTATCATTTAGTGAAAACTTAAGTATTTGTATAATTTTCTCAAAGAATTGCTTCTTTTTCGCGTTTGTGGTAATGCATATTTGAAAGATAAACAAACATTTTATGAACAATTTATCTCAATTACTGTGTACAATAAGTATAAAAAACGTCAGTCCGCATTTGAAATTTTGATACAAGAACTTATGTACTAAATATGTAACTTAATTGGTTTTGTAAAATTAAGAATATACTAAGACTTTTTATGAATCCCGGACCTGAATCCACCTTTTGAATTCCCAGGTTCGTTTTACCTGTCCTAAATATCTTAGATCAAAATAAAACAGATGTGACATTATTTAGATGATGTCTCTACTATCTAACTTTTTCATCTAAAAAAGGATAGATTTTGAGATATGGGATTTCAAGAATACTGGGTTTTGTTGTAAACGTTGTCATTATTAGAAATCATAACAAAAAATCGTGAAGAAATTATCTCAATTAACGAGGAAACAATTCAACGTGTACATGGGTGCTTTTTACTATCTATACAATAAGAAAAAAAACATATTTTTCAATTTCAATTCAAACCATGACAATAATAAATGAATTTTTGTGTTCAGGAAATGATATATTAACTAAATAGTCTAAATAAAACTTTGACAACTTCACAACTTATATGGAGGTTTTCGGTACAATTTGGAAAATCTTGTTTGTATGTCATAAAGCACAAATTCTATCAATTTTTGATAAAATCACTGAGTAAACACCATGTATTGAAATTGCTTATTGAACAATTAGTGTTTAATTTTCCCTACTTTTTCTGTTAGCAAACAATAAGAAAAAAACTCAAGTCATTACCATTAAACTTCGGTAAAAAGGCATATGAATGTGTTGTCTTTTCTTCTTTTATACAATATGAAAGAAAATGAAACAAAATCATACCATTTAAAGCACTTTTTAAGAATATTAACACAAATATCAATTCAAATTAATATATTTAACTTTATGCATAGTCAATATAAAAAAAGGGTGAAGAATTTATTTAAATTACTGATGAAAATAATTATCATACCTGAGTATTCCGCGGATTCATGTAAACTTTCTGTCCGATAAGAAAACAAAAGAGATATTTATTAATTTTAATTTAAACTAATATATTTGTATAATTTTCTCAATGAGACGTTTCTTGTTCTGTTTTGTTGTCATGATTATTGGAAATATAAACAAAAGCATTCGTGAGGAATTTATCGAAATTACTGAGGATAAGAAGCTAAATCAGAGAATTTGTGTCCCCCGCTGAGAGAAAAAAGTAAACCATGTACAGTTGGGGGGGGGGGGGGTAGGATCCCCCTAAATTTGTAGAATTTTTAAATGTATATACATGTAAACTGAAGCAAATAAAAACTGCCAATATGGATATAAAGTTTTTGATTGCTTATTTTCTATTATGTGTATAGAAGATTTTTTTATATGGAATATTTATCACACTAATGATGATTTTATGAGTTTGTATAAGCCAGACCTCATAAATTTTTCATTTCACATGCTGAATACTATCATTTAGTAAAAAAAAGTATTTCGGAAAAATATAACACTATCGCCTGGAAAGGATAGTGTTACACACAGACAAAATTATAAATTTACGACCTTAAACTCTGTCCTTTTGACATCAAGGTCAATAGGGGTCTTTCTTAGGCCACAGGGAGTTGTTTTGTAAAATTTCATTGCAAAAGCTCAAAAAAGGAAAAAATGTTGTTTAGTATTAGTGCATACAGGAAAATATTCATTCGATTTTCACCAAAACATGACCGATTCTGTCAGGAAAATGGAATTCTAGTCGAAAATTCTATGACATGTCCTGTCGTACGACTGCTTTTTGGTGTGTTTTCAAAGACTTGAAATATCACCGGTGAGTTGATTAATTCTAAACAACTTTTTCTTTCTCCGAGACGATTGGAGGTTTGAAAAAATTGTGTAATTCATGTATCTTGCGACAAAACTTCAAAATACTACCGTTTGACAGATTTTTAAATGTAAAAACGAAAATCTCGGCAATAATGGGTTCTCGCACGTTAGAGCTTAAAAACAATCCTAACTATTGAATTAAACAACAAGGCCCCAAAATAAATCTACATGCGATGTACAAATTATGACACTTTCCCCGTCATGTTAGCTCAAGTATGCAATGACTTGACGTCATGTTCTATTATGACGTCATATCTAGGTAGTTCAGAGAAGTAACAACAGTCTGAACAGTTTGACATTTTTTCGGACAGCCTTATTCTAGCTGCGTAACTAAATTACTGTTATAAATTTAAGAATAGATGAAGACTTTTAATGAATCCCGGCCCTGATCCCGCCTTTTGAATTCCCACGTTCGATTTACCTGTCTTTAAAATTATCTTTGATCAAAATCAAACAGACATTATTTAGATGATGACTTTACTATCTTACTTTTTCATCTTAAAATGCGGGATTTCAAAAATTATAACACTATTATATTAGTAACTTATTTCCAAACATATGCATCTTACAAAAACAACTTAACACTTTCATCACCATGATAACAACGTTGTGGTATTTTCATCTTTTCATCTTAATCATAAAAAAGTTGTATAATGTTCTCAAAGAGATGCTTTTTAATTTGTGTTGTCAAGATTATTGCAAATATAAACAAAAAAAAATCGTGAACAATATACTGTATTTCAATTCCTGAGAAAAATAATTATCTTACCTGGAAGTCCATCCTTATTTATACGTATACCTCCTGTCCGATAAAAAATCAAAAAAAAAATATTTATCAATTTTAATTAAAACTAAAATATTTGTGTAATGTTCTCAAAGGAATGCTTCTTGTTCGGTGATGTTGTCATAATTATTGAAAATATAAGCAAAAAATTCGCGAAGAATTTATCTTAATTACTGAGGAAAAGAATTAATCATACCTGAACATGGGTACTCTCCTTTTTCTATCAGATAATAAAAAAAATAATTATTAATTTTAATTCAAACTTAAGTATTTGTATAATTTTCTCACAGATTGCTTTTTGTTCGTTTTTGTTGTAATGTTTATTGGAAATATAAACAAAATTTCATGAACAATTTATCTCAATTACTGAGTACAATAAATATGAAAAACGTCTGTCAGCAATCGACATTTTGATACAAGAATATAATAACTGTTAGATTGTATGTTGTGTACGTCCTGTTCAAGATTTTTCACTCATGGAGAGAGGTCACAACAAAACGTTGAATCCTTTCAAATTCATTCGGAACTCGGGGCCATTGAACAGTGCGTATTTCCATGGATATGGAGATAACGAACAGTATTTAATATTAAAGTCCATAAAACAATCGAAAATATGAGTAAAGCAAACAAGGACCTTCGAAACATCACCGGTTGGATCAGGTGCCATTGAGGAGTGAGCATCCCCTGCTGACCGGTCACTACCGCGGGAAATAACGGGAAAATCCGTCGTCAATTCAATGTTTAAATAATGGATTTACAATTAGTATGAAAAACGTCAGCCAGCATGTGACATATTGATAAATTGTATTTGCTGACAAGGTCATTGTATCGACCATAGAACCACATCGACCATAGAACTTACGAAATGAGTTTACACGAGACGGCTGATATACTTGCTTGTCAATAATTTACCTCGTTTTGGAAATTGTTCATACAAAGAGCATGCTCTTACGTATCGAATCAATTGAGATATATACACTCCGTATACAGGTGATGAAGGCATATTGCTGCATAAGTAAGGGAAGATGACGATAGAAAAGTTAAAGTCATCACGTCTATCATATAGCTTGGTTGTTAGATTACTATTCACGTCTTTTTCAAGTCATATATCAAAATATGAAACAGATGTGTCAGACTCAATGGTATCTTTTATCTCAAGCTTTCAATGATATTTCGTATCGACGTAGGAATGAATATTGCCATTGTTAATTGACAATACGTCGTCGATATATCTAAATGTAGAGTTTAAGGCCACAACAAGAGTGTCCTTCTTTTCATGCATAAGATTTTGCACAAATTATAAAATTTATGATATACATGTACTTAGGGAACTAAAGTATAAAATATACAACTTAGTTGATGTTATAAAATTAAGAATATACTAAGACTTTTAATGAATCCTGGCCCTGACCCGCCTTTTGAATTCACACGTTCGCTTTTCCTGTCCTTAAAATTATCTTAGATCAAAATCAATTAGACAACATTATTTAGATTATGTCTCTATTATCTATCTTTTTCATCTAAAAAGGATAGTCGTTAAGATGTTGGATTTCAAGAAATATAATACTTTTATATTAGTACTTCCTTCCATAAATATGCATCTATCTTAATAAAAAAAATTGTATAATTTTCTCAAAGAGACACTTCTTGTTCCGTTTTGGTGTCATGATTATTGGAAATATACACAAAATATTCATGAAGTATTTATTACAATAAGTGAGCAAAATAATTATCCTACCTGAAAATGGATGCACTAACCCTGTTTGGTTAGAAAAACAAGATATTTATCAATTTTAATTAAAACTATATTATTTGTATAATTTTTAAAAGAGATGCTTCTTGTTCGCTTTTATTGTCATGATTATTGAAAATATTAGCAAAAAAATTCGTGAAGAATTTATCTCAATTATTGAGGAAAATTATTATCCTACCTGTGCGTGGGTCACGGTTACGTCCTATACGATAAAAAAAGAGATAATTATTGATTCTAATTCAAACTAAAGTATTTGTATAATTTTCTCAAAGAATTGCTTCTTCTTCGTGTTTGTTGTAATGAATATTGGAAATATAAACAAAAACTTTATGAACAATTTATCTCAATTACTGAGTAACAATACGTATGAAAGACGCCGGTCAGCATTTGACATTTTGATACAAGAAAATCATCATTGTTAGATTGTATGAAGTTTTACGTCCAATTTAAGAATTTTTCACTCATGGACAGAAATCACAACATACCGTTGAAGCGTTTCAAATTCATTCGGAACTTGGGGCCATTAAACAGTGAGTATTTCTATAAAATGCAGGATATACTTAGGGAACGTAAGTATAAAATATATAGCTTAATTTATGTTATAATATTAAGAATATACTAGTACGAAGACTTTTAATGAATACCGGACCTGATCCCGCCTTTTGAATTCCCACGTTCGATTTACCTGTCCTTAAAATTATCTTAAATCAAAATCAAACAGACGACATTATCTAGATGATGTCTCCATGATAAAACTTTTTCATCTTAAAAGGGAGAGTCGTTATGATTGTGGATTTCAACAAATATAATTCGATTATATTAGTAAGTTCTTTCCAAAAATTTCCACCTTCCAAATGCAGCTTAATACTTTCAACACAATAATAACTTCGTGGAATTTTCATATTTTTATCTTAATCATAAACAACATTGTCTTATTTTCTCAACAAGATGCTTCTTGTTCGTTTTTATTGTCAAGATTATAGGAAATATGAACAAAAAAAATCATGAAGAATTTATCACAATAACTGAGGAAAATAATTATCCTACCTGATAATGCTGGCGGTACATGGAAAAATCCTGTCCGATAAGAAAAACAAAAGAGATGTTTATCAAATTTAATTCAAACTAAAATATTTGTATAATTTTCTCAGAGATGCGTCTTGTTCGGTTTTGTCGTCATGCTTATTTGAAATATTAACAAAAACTTCGTGAAGAATTAATTTCAATTATTGAGGAAAATTATTATCCTACCTGTGCGTAGGTGTCTTTTACTTCCTATCCGATAAAAAAAACCCTGATAATTATTAATTCTAATTCAACTAAAATATTTCTATAATTTTCTCTTAGAGATGCTACTTGATCGTTTTTGTTGTCTTGAATATTGGATATAAAAACAAAAAATTCAGGAAGAATTTATGACAATTACTGAAGAAAATGATTATTTTACCTGGATGTCCCGCTGATATACTTTCTATCAGATAAGAAAACAAAAAAGATATTTATAAATTTTAATTCAAACTAAAATATTGCTATAATTTTCTGAAAGACATGCTTCTTGTTCGGTTTTGTTGTCATGATTATTGGAAATAAAAGCATAATATTTTGTGAAGTATTGATATCAATAACTGAGGATAAAAATAATCATACCTGTATACGGGTACCTTCTTCTTCCTATCCGATAGAAAAAAAATTTTTTTTTCATTCAAACTAAAGTATTTGTATAATTTTCTCAAAGAATTGCTTCTTCTTCGTGTTTGTTGTAGTGAATATTGGAAATATAAACAAAAATTTTATGAACAATTTATCTCAATTACTATGTTCAATAAGCGTCAGTTAGCATTTGAAATATTGATACAAGAACTTAAGTATTATATATATAATTTTATAATTATATTGGTCATGTAAAATTAAGAATCTACTAAAAATTTTAGTGAATCACGGCCCTGAAACAACCTTTTGAATTCCCTGTTTACCTGTCCTAAATATCTTAGATCAAAATAAAACGGATGTGACATTATTTAGATGATGTCCCCACTACCTAACTTTTTCATCTAAAAAAGGACAGATGTTGAGATATTGGATTTCAAGAATATATATACCATTATAGAAGTAACTTCTTTAAAAAAAATTTGCATCCTTCAAAAATATCTAAACACTCTCTTTACATTGATAACGTGGGATTTTCATCACTTCATCTTAATCCCGAAAATCTTATTATTTTCTGATACAAATGTTATTTATTCCTTTCAGTTATCATGATGATTGATAACATTAACAAAAAAAATGTGAAAAATTTATTTCAATTACTATGGAAAATAAGACATGAAATGCTACTTGTATGTTTCTGTAAGCAAACAATAAGAAAAACTCAAGCCATTACCTTCAAATATCGGTGAAAAAGCATATAAATATGTTGTCTTTTCTTCTTATGTACAATATGAAAGATAAATGAAACAAAATTATACAATCAAAAAGCACTTTTTAAGATTATAAACACACATCTATCAATTTAAAGGCATAATTTTAACTTCCTGCATAGTTAATATAAAAGAAATGGTGAACAATTTATCTCAATTACTCAGGAAAATAAAAATCCTGCTTAAATTTTCTATCCGAAAAGAAAAAAAAAACATAAAGATATTTATTCATTGAAAAACTTCACAATTTATATGGCAGTAAGCACTACAAATTGGAAATTATTGCCTTTATACCATAAAGCACAAATACTATCCATTTATTATAAAATTACTGAGAAAACACCTTGTGTTGAAATTGTTAATTAAACCAAATTATTGTTCATTTTCTTTTATTTTGTAAGCAAATAATAAGAAAAAAGTCAAAGGATTACTTTTAGGTGTCGAAAAAATTCCATCCATTAGTGCTGTCCTATCTGCTTTTATACAATATGAAAGAAAAAATAGAAATATTACACCATTTAATATCAGTTTTTTGCTTTCTGCTTGAGGTATTTTAAACAAGATTTTTTATAAGTATTTAACATCTCCCTTGTCTTTTCATACAACAGATTATTATTTTAAAGCAACTATAATAGCAAAAAAGAATTAGTGTTCCAAGCTTTAAGTCACACGATGCCACCTTTGTTGTCTTGGAGGTCGTTTTTTGCGCTGTTCTTTTTTTCTATTGTCTAATGGACTTTTTATCTTGAATACTGTTCGTTTTTTTCCATGTGACTTACGCATTCAAATGAAGCAAAATTTATTCAAAGAGATATGCATTTTACATGTGAAGAAGAAAATATTTGCAATGGCATTAAACTCTACATCAAAGTAGACTAATGACGTATTATCAATAGTTATTTTCATTAATATGTTGTTTCGATTTATCCCAGCAAACTTGAAATAAAAGATACGATACATACGATACATTAAATCGATAACCAAAAGCATGGTCTACTTATGAAAATTTTATAAAAGGAGATGACTTATTGACAAGCAAATTGAGCATACAAGAATACCTTTATTTTTGTTGTATGTATGATATGTCCTGCTCGAGAATGTTTAACTTAGGTAGAGACGTAACAACAAACTAGTTAAAATTTAAATTTAGACCTTTACTCGGTACAAAGGCCATTGAGCAGTGAGCGTCCTTTTCGCGCCAACGACTATCGTGAAAGAAGGCCTCAGTTTTTAAGGCCTTACCTTAAGGATCAAGTAATTTCACTTCAAAGTGAAGAGCGCTTGGCGAAGGAAACAATTGTAAGGAATGAAGGATATGGAGATAACTAACAGTATTCAGTCTCAAAGTCCATAAAACAATACAAAATAAGAGCAGAGCAAACACAGACCCCCGAAACATCAGAGAAGGGATAAGGTGCCATGAAGGAGTGAACATCTCCTGCCGACCGGTCACATCCGCCGTGTGCTCCTTGTCATGATCAGAAAATAACGGAAAAACCGTCGTCAATTCAGCGTATAAATAATGCACTAATAATTGGAATGAAAAACGTCAGTCAGCATTTGACTCAATAATAAATTGTATTTGCTGACAAGGTCATTGTATCGACCATAGAACTTACGAAATGATGGCTTTAAACGAGACTGCTTATATTCTTGTTTCATCAACTTGCTTGTCAATAATTTTCCTCGTTTTAGAAATACGTTCATACGTAGAGCATGCTCTTGCGTATCGAATCAACTGAGATATATACTCCGAATGCAGGTGATGAAGGTATATTGCTGCATAAGTAAGGGAAGTTGACGATAGAAAAGCTAAAGTCACCACATTTATCATATAGCTTGGTTGTAAGATCACCATTAGTGTCTTTTTCAAGTAATATATCCAAGTATGAAACAGAAATGTCAGACTATGTGGTATCATTTATCTCAAGCTCACCAGGATATATCGTATCGACGTAGGATTGGAAATTACCATTATTAATTGACAATACGTCGTTGATATATCTTTATGTCGAGTTGAAGGCCACAGCAAGTGTTTTCTTCTTTTCGAGCATAAGATTTTGCATAAATTCTGCTTCATATGAATATGAAAATAAGTCTGCTAATAACGGAGCGCAATTTGTACCCATGGGAATTTAAATAGACTGTTTTAATACCTGGTCTCCAAAAACCACACAGATATTGTCAATCAGAAACTCAAACAAACTCAACCGTATTTAAGCTCAAAAGTCCATAAAACAATACAAGATGGGAGAACAAACACGAACCTCAAAAGCATCAGAGGTTGGATCAGGTGCCATGGGGAAGTGAGCATCCTCTGCCTACTGGTCATAATCGCCGTGTGATTCTTGTCATGATTGGGAAGTAACAGAAAAAATTCGTCGATAATTCAGTGTGTAAATAATGACCTTACAATAAGTATGAAAAATCAATTGGGAAGTATAAACCCGTATGCAGGTTATGAAGGTATATTGCTGCATAAGGAAGGAAAACAGACGATTGAAAAGTTAAAGTCGTCTCATTTATCATAAAACTTACTGTTAGATTACCATCAAGTCTTTTTCATGTTGAATATCCAAATATGAAAAATATTTGTCAGACTTTGGGGTATCTTTCTTTTCAAGCTCACCCGGATATATCTTTCGACATAAGGATGGGAATTACTATTGTTAAATGACATCGTTGTCGATATATATAAACATCGAGCTTAAGACAACAGCAAATGTTTTCTTCTAAGTATAATATTTTGAACAAAAATTTTGCCTCATAATAATACAAATATAGGTCTGCAAATAAAGGGTCGTAATTAGTATCCACGGGAATTCGAATAGATTTTTGGAAGACCTAGTCTCCAAATGCCACAAGGGTATTGTCAATTAGAAATTGAGACACCTTTTTAATGTCAACTTCAGAGTTTTAGAGTGTATAGAATCAGGATGTTTTTAACAAAGTAATTTTACAAATGACTAGCGACAAGGTAAGTAAATTTACGGGTTCCTTTTTATTGAAAAAGCACCTGTCAATGATTTCAGAAAACCTGGGCTTTAATTTATCGTGTGAAATAGTTGTTTATGAAGTTGAAATGTCAATGCAGCCTTGAATAAAATAAATTGAACAATTATATTCCAAAAGAATTATTGCACTTTCTGATAAGGAACCGGACAAACTAAACAACGGGTTTCTCTAAATTTTTCACTTTAATGGTTTATTTTCTGTGTTGAAATTTCTGTTTATTTGTTCTTTATTTTGTGTTTTAAAAAGTTATATTTGTTCTTTGATTTATGTAGGTTTAATGGGGTGTATAACTCACATCCTCACTTTATGATCTGTATAAGGACATAAGAAGATTCGTCATGAATATGTTACCTCTCCCGAGTTTTTCAAAGATATGATATCGCTAGAAGCAAAGACAGGTGTTGGGTCCTATTCAAAGTTTATTTTAGTACTCGTAAGATATTCTCACATGCACAATGTTAATGATAGATAAATAATTTCAGAATTTTGGGTCTAAACAAGTCAATGTCTTTACAGATCGAGAAAAATGTCTTTTAGGGATGACAATTTTTTTCCCATCAAATGGGGTTGGGGCTTTTAATTTATGATTCTTTTGAATATTTTCCTCTTTCATTTCTTTAAAAAAACATAAAATTACAAGAAACATCACAGATATAAAAATCAAATGATTAAAGATATTTAAACAGAAGAGCTTTGAACATTCTAAAGACCCTTACCGCGCTCACTAGTAAATGAACTCGATGTCTCCTCCATTGAGAATGTAATAAATCTGTTCGATCAATTTTTACAATGTCAGGAGCATGAAGTTTTTCTTGTCAAGGAAAGAAAAAAATAATATATTCTGCATTATAATAACCACGTAACAATCTTGGATTACTATTAAATTCATGTTAATTTCCAAGTATCTGAATAAATAAGAATTACTTTCGTTTTGGTATCATCTCCGGAAGTAGGCCTTTTGAGGCAATTGCCAAGTCTAGT